GCAGTCATTCGATGATTTTCCTGCCTTAAAAAAAAAAACGGTTGTTTTATTGATGCTTTCTGTATAAGAACGCAATAATAATATGGAATCTTCGAACAGGGACACGTAGCCTAGCCCCATTGCCCATTGACTGGTATTTTGCTAATCTCCATAAATACTGGTTTGATTTTTTTTTAAACTTTGCCCTACTCTAATATTTGCTCCTGTACCGTGGGTGCGTTTACAAACATAGTAAGTTCACATACACATGACACCGAGACTCGGAACAACAATTCGTGGATCACATAAAACAGTTGCTCCGTGCGGGAATCGTTCCCGCGACATGTTGCGCGGTAGCCGGTTGCCTGGCTACCGCACCAACCACGCTGTCATTTGTATCAGCCCCTTGATCCATCCGCCTATCGAGTTTCTTGCAAGATCTTCTCCATTCAAATCTACATTTTGGAACGAGCTTATCTTTATTATTTACTAGCTTTAACCCGCGGCTTTGCTCGCGTCACAAAAGAATAAAAAGTAGCCTATGTGACATATATCAATACACACAGCGCCATCTATACCAATACTTTTGTTTTTCCTCGGGAATATCATTTTTTCCGGGTTAAAATGTACCCTATTATTTAATCCGGACTTCTAACTTTACTTCTGCAAAAATTCAAAGCAATCGGTTGAGTAGTTACTGCGTGATAGTGGAACAAACAAACAAACAAACAAACTCACTTTCCCATTTATAATATTAGTAAGGATTTTGTATTTGTTAACGTTTCAAAAGTACCAAAGTATAGTTTAATTGATATAAATGCTATTAAGTTAGAGTTTATTATTTGTAAGAAGAGAAGAAACTCCCTAGCGTAATTTATAGACCTAATATTTGAGTTAAGATGCTAAGTAAATACTGAAACAATTAATGAAGTTTATTTATTGTTTTAGCCCATTAATTTTAAGAAATTGGAACTCAATTAATCTGAAGTTTAGGATCTAACTGGAGACGTAACAAAGAGCTATTTTAGTATTGGTCGTCAGTATTTTCGTGGTTAACTATTATTAAGTTTAATGCTTTAGGAATAGGGCAGTAGACAATGTATGAAAATTAAAAAAAATTATTAGTCCGTCCGTTAAATAATAATAAAATATTAGACACATTTTTTTATTCTGTCGTATAAGAAAACAATACTTAGATAAAACGGAATTAAGTCTAGGAGTGGTCAAAGTCAAAGTCAAAATCATTTATTTCAATTAGACCAGGAAGGCACTTTTGAACGTCACAACAAAATATTTAAATATTAAATAATAAGAAAAAAGGTCATTACGTCACGCTACCCTATAAAATGTTGTAAATCGTGACGTCACACGATATTTCACATTAATATATCGTCGAAAATATTTAATTATTTAAATAATTTAAATTAAAGGAGAAGAAAAAATATGTGTCTAATGTTTTAAAATAATCTACCAGACGGATATTAAAAAAAATTAGTCTACTACCCTATTTATCAGGATATATACCAATCTATTCGCTAATGAAGTTATTAGAATCATGGCGACGCAAGATAAGACCGTCTTCTCTTTTAAAAACTTAAGAATGTTTAGACTGTGATCGATCTATTAACTCACTCATCTAGCTACACTTGGGAGCAAAAAAACGGATCCATTAGTTATTTTTTACCTATCTATTTTTATCAGCTATATGTATAAATAAAAATGAATTTACGTTCGTTAGTCTCGCTAAAACTCGAGAACGGCTGAACCTATTTTGCTAATTTTGGTCTTGAAACGTTCGTGAAAGTCCAGGGAACGTTTAAAAGGTGAGAAAAATAAACTTTTTTAGGCGGTACGTAGTTTGCCGGGTCAGCTATTTTTAAATAAAATAAAATAGGTATTTTTTTCTTTTTGTTAATTGGTAACGTATGTCGTACAAAAGTTACCTTTTTAATGAGAACCTTTTTGTTATAAAAAAAAACATATTTTTAAAAGTAATAGAGGGTTCGATATTGAAAAAAAAAATTGGTAAATGTTCGTTTCTCTCCAAATGTATTAAGGTACGTACACACGCGAAAAGGCGTTCTAATGAGCATGGTTAAAATTTTTCAAAAATCGAACGCCTATCGTTTCGCAATCATGTGTGAAATGAGCATGGTAATTTTTTTCTTTTTTTTTTGTTTCCCCGATGTTTGGCTATTATCTTCATTTTGAACAACATTCTGACAGATATGCTACTATGCTAATAGCTCAATTGAAGCATGCTTTAGCATGTGCTACAATACCCCTAATATTTATGAGCACACAACAATTTTTCTTCACGTTTCGATAAAAACGATTTACTTTATACCTACTTACCAAAATATTTTGAAAAGTCTCATTTCTTATTCCACTCGTATTTTTAAGATTATTTCTACAAATGGTTTCAGAAACAACAAAGAAAAATGCCATTTCTTTTATGATTTATAACAATAGCTTTGAAGTTATTGAAACAATGGTTAATGAGCGAGGGTAGGCAGAGGTCTTGTGTTTGTAAGAAATTAAATAATACCTGTATGAAAATATACAAGCACCTATTGGTTTTGGGTTGACTTCTAAATTGAAAAAAAAAACGGTACTTTACGGTTCACGAGTTATGGCGTGTGTGAAGTTCGCAATTACGTATTTTAGGTACCAAACGGCTTGTATAATATATTAATAGTACCTGTAACCTTATCTACTATAACTATTATATCCTTATTAAGTCTCAGATGTAATAATCAGTCATCTTATTCAGTTTCCTGAAGGCTGTCAATACAATCTGGCACACAATAACATGTGTGATTACAAATACCTACATAGGGATTCCTAGAAAACTAAATGTAGTGGTTACGTAACACATAGTACATACCTAACCAAGTTTTCCTCGTTTTCTTGTAACATTATTATTCTTGATAGATATACCGTCAGGTAAACAAAGTCGATTATAGTTTTCGTAGAAATGGTACTATAAGGAACTTGTTATTAAGGTACTGCCCATATTTAAGTAAAGAGTTAATTGAGTAGAGTGACTTCTGCTAACCACGGCTATTATGAATGGTACGTGGTGACGTAGTTCGCCACACTTACAGCTCATGGTTATTAGCCCCAGTGCTCTTTGAAACTAGTCGAACATCCTCGAAAATATTACCTGACTTAGAACGCACGGCTCCAACCCAGCAATTAACTTGTCATTTAAATATGGACGTTAAATCGTATGTCGTATGATATATTTTATAACGTCAATAAAGAAAGTGTGGGAGAGCCATGCTTTGGCACGAATGGGCCAGCTCGACCGCAGTGATACCACGGCCTCACAGAAAACCGACGTGAAGCAACGTTTGCTTTGTGTTTCGTCGTGTGAGTGAGGTTGCCGGAGGCCCAATCACCCCCCTCCTTAGTCCCCGTCTACCGAATCCCCGAATCCTCCACAATCCTCAAATTCCCAATTCCTAAAATGCCGGTTACGCACTTGTAACGCCTTGGTGTTTCGGGTGTCCATGGGCGACGCCGATTGCTTACCATCAGATGATCCGTATGCTCGTTTACCAGCTTATGCTATGAAAAAAAAAAACAGAAAGCCGACGGCGGATGGTCAGCGCCCTTTCAATTCCATCTGTCTAGAGTATTCCTAAGTGCCATATCACATCAACAGTCTATATATAAGTGGCCACTGCTGACCAAAGGCCTCTTTTCTCAAAGAGAGGATTTGAACATTTACCCTCACGCTTGCTCAATGCCGATTGGCAATTTCAAACTTATAATTAGAAATCAAAAGCCCAGGTTTCCTTCACCGTTTGTCAGTGATGGCGTGGTGGCTCGGAGTTTTAAGATGCCCGCTTCTCATGCATGAGGGTGCGGGCTCGAAACCTACCAATGGCAAGTACCACTGTGACTTTTTCGAGTTATATGTACTTTCTAGGATTATCTAGACATCACTGACTGACTGTGAAGGTTAACATCGTGAGGAAACCTGAGGTTATAATTTCTAATAATAAGTTTGTAATCGCCAACCCGCATTGAGCAAGCGTGGTGATTAGTGCTCAAACCTTCTCCGTGTGAGAAGAGGCTTTGCTCAGCAGTGAGCATTTATAGGCTGTTAATGATAATGATGATGATGATTGTCAGTGGTGTCTAAATAATCTAAGAAAGTACATTTAACTTGGAAAAAGTCACATTGGTACTTACCCTTGGAAGGTTTTTGCCACAGTACGCTACTAAATGTCTAACCTTTGACATAATATAAAAGTAAATTGAATTGCGTGTAGTTTTAAAAAGATTAATCCAAATTCTAACCCGCACCGTCTATGACAAATGTGTTGAAAAGAAAACAATAAACTCTTCAGAGCTATACTTTAAGTAAAACATTACAATCTTGAATATCAATTGTGTGGTATTAACTCTAAGCTTAGGTGAAAACATTCATTCAATATTAAAGTACTTATATCGTTTGAGATTTATTTTTGTCACACTTTAATGAAAACGTATACCTACCCAGTATTTGGCTAAGTTTATTAAGTTTTTTTACTTTTATTTATTTATATGATACTCGAATTACTTTACGAAAACAAATTGGATTGCTATGGATATAGACTGTCTGGGAATGAGAAGTTCGCTGGTATTTATAGGTGTATGATGTTCTAGGAAGATGTATTGGCTAAGTTAGATTTGCAAACTGTTTTATATCTGTCAAGTAAATTATTGATTGGTGTCTATTTCGATTTTTCAGGCCTTTTGGGGCTTAGGAATTTGCGGATTGTTGGGGATTCAGGAATTGGGGAGATTGGATGGAGGAGGGATAATTAAGCCTCCCCGGTAACCTCACTTGCACGACGAAACTCAACGCAAGCGTTGTTTCACATCGGTTTTTTATGAGGCCGTGGTATCACTCCGGTTAAGTCGGCCCATTCCTTCTGAAGCATGGTGCTCCAACACTTATAATTGATATTCATTCTCAACACTAATAGGGCTACAGGACTATTATAAGCAGCACATAGCTACATATAATGGTTGGTTTTTTCAGTCTAATATAAAAGAAAACTATTTAATACAATATGTACAACCTGTTTGTTTTTTTATATCTTTTCATTTGTTTTGTAAAATTATTATGTTTCTTTAATTAATTAATTTTATTTAAACTGATAATGTCTAATTTGTGGTTTGTTCGTCCGCGATTCACTTAAGGGGCCAGTAGAATACCAGCGCGAGGCCCTGTCTTGCACATGCTGAACTGGACCCATTTCACGGCAGACTTGGAACATGAACATGTACCCATCAGTTCGTGGTAATAGAAAGTTTTTTCTTTCTTTCACATATATAGTATTCTATCTAGTAAGTGAGGAGGAGCCACCGTAGAACAACAAATTACTTTCATTACCGAGATGCTAGAAAAAGGCTAGTTGCGTAGTCATCTTAATTAGTGCTCATACAAGCATGATAAAATGTAAAAAAGTAGGTAAGCAAGGACTGAAAGTTGTTAGAGCTCTTTAGTTTTTACCTACCCTTGAACAAATTGTATTGGACTTTTGTCGGAATACTGAAACGTTACTCAATTTTAAGTCGCGCTTAAGTATAGTTCTGTCACCATTAATTCTTTGTAAAAGACAGAGATGGCACAATATTTAAGCACGACTTAAAATTGAGTAACGTTTCAGTATTCCGGCGTTTGCAACAAAACAATCAGAAAGCAACATTGAAGATGAAGATAGAAATAGTTGATCTGAGTACTGTTTACAAAATCGAGTGCATCCATCTCATTTCTTGGTACCCCGGTTTTAATTTAAATCCGTTTTTACGTTGTTTGTTTTAGTTTCAGGAACCCTATTAATTATTGTAGTGTTTTAATTAAAGTTTTGTAAGTAAGTCTTGACGTTGCAAAGTTTTGAATTGAAGTTTGAATTTAGTTTTGTGCAAGCAAAGAATTTAAAAGCAAATTGCATAACTTTGCAGAACAGTTTTCTGCCTTTTTTATAATATTTTTTTAATAATTACTATCGTGAGACATACTTAACTCGTCGAGTACCGGTTTTATAGACACAATTAAAGAACAATAGGTCGCGGTCACCGGTGACCGCTTGGTGTTTGACAGTTTAATGAACTATAAATCGCGGGTTACTCACGTGAATATACTGAGAAAAGCTTTTAGAAAAGAAATTTAATAGGAATTCATTATTATGATGACTGCCTCGTTAGCCGAATGGTGCGGCGAACGGTGTAAGTGCGACTAACTGGCAAGGGGTCTCAGGTTCGATTCCCGGGTCGGGAAAAGTATTACAGGGTTTGTAATAAAATGTCAGTAGTAGCACGGAGTCTGGAAATGTGCCCGGTATATGGCAACAGGCTCACCCCCTATTACATGGGACTCATAACATAAATAGTGAAAAGTGGGTGTTACTTCTGTGTGCTCCTCTGCCTACCCCTTCTCGGGGATAAAAGGCGTGATGTTATATTATGTTATGTCATTATTATCTATTTGTCAAATATTAATTTGTCAATATTATTATTAAAATAAACGATGTCTTCATAAAAAAACTTAGAAAACGCAATATAGGAAACCTACCATAGAATCTCCTAGCTACTTAATCTATTTCCATCGACATTATTTCCCTTGAGGTGGAATGAAATTTCAAGATGGCGCACATGTCCATTTTAATTTCAACACGTGCTAAACTTGACCTTTTTGCAGAGCAATTAGGGTCTATATTTATGTGGCCTTCTAAAAGTTAGTCTCTAAAGATCTCTTTAGTTTAAGTATAATTGAGCTTAGTCTTGTTTGGAGGACGAACTTAATTGGAGCAGATTCTTATTTACTGATTTGGGGATTTGTTTGTAAATACGAACATATTTGTGTCTATACAAGACAATTTATTAGTAGTCGAATGCTTGTAAGTTGTACCAAATAACAGTATCTGGCCAGGGCGCTTACTCATGAAACCAATCTCAATACTACAACAACATAACATCACGCTTTTTTATCCCCGAAGGGGTAGACAGAGGTGCACATTTCGGCACTTAATGCCACTGTACAATGTAACACCCACTTTTCACTATTTATGTTATGAGTCCCATGTAATAGGGGGTGAGCCTATTGCCATATACCGGGCACATTATTCCAGACGCCGTGCTACTACTGAGATTTTTAAAAACCCAGTAATACTTTGCCCGACCCGGGAATCGAACCCGAGACCCCTTGCCCGGCAGTCGCACTTGCGACCACTCGGCCAATGAGGCAGTCCTGCAATTAACCAATCTCAATGTCAATGCAATTTTGATCCAATAAAATATCAATAATTATTCAATGTCAACACTATACAATCACAATCGTAGATATAATCGAATATAAAGCCAAACTCAATACCATTTAGTTCATTCAATATCCACGCAATACGGATGTAATGGGCGCTAATGTTGTAACTCAAGAGTACGAAATTTCACAATACCAATCGATCGATTGGAATTAGATTCAAGAGTAAGCCCCCAGATTAGAGTATTGGATAAAACATTCTTGGTTATTTTTCTTTTATTTTGTTGGTTGATTGTTATTGTATATGGCATTAAGCTCAACCCTTATTACATGGGACTCATAACATAAATAGTGAAAAGTGAGTGTTACATTGTACAGTGGTATTGAGTGTCCCTTCGGGAGTAAAGGCGTAGTCTAATATTATGTGATTATTTTGGTTTTGGAATTCTATCCCGAAGTTAAACATAGTTTTAGTGGCCTCATCCTATACATATAAGATGACGTAGCATATAAATCATGTACGACCACGTGCTATAGCACCACTGTATACAGTGCGTTCCTGAAATTGACGTCTAAATGGCACCTGGCGATCGAAAGTTTCCAGACTTTTAAAAAAATACAGACGAAACAATGAACATTTGTATCAACAAGAGTCAAAAAACAGGGACAGGGTGTACTTTTTCCTAAATAATATATAATTCACTGTAATTTAGATAGTGTAGGAGTTAAGTTTTTATTCTTAATAGGACTGCCTCGTTGGCCGTGTGTTCGCAAGTGCGACTGCCGGGCAAGGAGTCTCGAGTTCGATTCCCGGGTCGGGCAAAGTATTACTGGGTTTAAAAAAAATCTCTGTAGTAGCACGGAGTCTGGAATTGTGCCCAGTATATAGCAATAGGCTCACCCTCTTTTACATGGGACTCAGAACATAAATAGTGAAAAGTGGGTGTTACTTCTGTGTGCACCTCTGCCTACGCCTTCGGGGATAAAAGGCGTGATGTTATGTTATGTTATTAGGTACATTAAACACGTCTATTTGTTTAGAGAAAGGGAGTGACTTTACGTGATTTTGTCCACAGATCGGCTGGAAGTACACGAACGCGTGGTTGGTCGGCAACCTGATGTGCAAGCTGCTACTAGTGCTGCGAGCCTTCGGTCTCTATCTGTCTTCTAACGTCCTCGTTTGCATCTCTGTTGATAGGTGAGTACTGTATCTTCATCATCATTGACATCGTTATCGTTAGCCTGGCTAATGCTGGATATAAGTATTGTGCATTACTGCGAGTTCCATCTTTAGCTTAATTATTATGTATCTCGGCTTACTCACGTAATTGTTTGCAATTTTTTTTATGGCTTAAGTCGGTAAACGAGCAGATGGATCACCTAATGGTAAGCAATCGGCGTCGCCCATGGATACCTGGAACACCAGAGGCGTTACAAGTAGGTTACCGGCCTTGTGGGGATTAGGAGTTTGAGGATCGTTGGGGATTCAGGAATTGGGGAGATTGAGGAAGGGGAGGGTAATTGGGCCTCCGGTAACCTCACTTATACGACGAAACACAACGCAAGCGTTGCTTCACGTCGGTTTTCTGTGAGGCCGTGGTATCACTCCGGTCGACCCGGCCCATTCGTGCCGAAGCATGGCTCTCCCACACTTAAATACTAAATAAATACTGCCTCGTTGCCCGAGTTGCAAGTGCGATTGCCGTGCAAGGGGTCTCGGGTTCTGTTTCCGGGTCGGGTAAAGTATTACTGGTTTTTTTTTATTCTCAGTAGTCGCACGTAGTCTGGAAATGTACCCGGTATTATAGCAATAGGCTCACCCCCTATTATACGGGACTCATAACATAAATAGTGAAAAGTGGGTGTTACATTGTACAGTGGCATTAAGTACCGTAATGTGCACCTCTGCCTACCCCTTCGGGGATAAAAGGCGTGATGTTATGTTGTTTGCCAAGGAACTCGATTAGTTTGAAGCCATTCTAAGTACGCCACACTGAGTAGCAAGGCACCGCGATAGTCAAGTTTCCTGTGTCGTGTAATACTTCTCATGAATATGAGCCTCTCCAATGGCTTCAAACTAGTCGAGTTCCTAGTCAAACAGTTACGTGAGTAAGCTAAACTACATCATAATATTTTTTTTATACCTCGACGATAGCAAAAAAGCACACGGCACACCTTCTGGTAAGGGGTGGCCTATGAACGCTAGGGGCATTATATGCGCCTTCATCATCACCATCATCATCAGCCTACCTCTATATTCGTCCACTGCTGGACATATGCCTCTCCAATGGCACGCCACTGAGCTCGGTCTTCAGCTTTTCTCATCTAACCACTGCCAGCCACCTTGCAGATGTCGTCACTCCACCTAGGTGGAGGGCGCTCTACACTGCGTTTGCCTAGACGCATGCGTGCGCCTTGCCGACCCTTAAAAACCTATTTATTCCTTACTTAAAGAACCCCATATTGTAGCCTGCCGGGAAAACGTTGGCAGGGAATTTATTCCAGAAACGGGGGTCCGAGGGTCCTAGAGAATTAATTTACTACGTCTCACAAAATGTATAATCCATCTTCAGCTTCAGCAGTTGTTCGATACGAAGGTCTACCTAGCTTCACCTAGCTTCACTGACGGACTGACCGACAGACTATTATTTATTTTGTATTTGTCGCCGTTTCAAAAGTACCAAATTATGGTTTAATTGAAATAAAGTAAAAGAAAACAACAAAAATTATACCCTTAATAAATAAATGCTTTGACTTTGGTCCAGCAAGGTTGAGAAGGGAATTCTCAAATGGAATTGTTTATCTAATTCTTTAATTTTTATATAAGAAAATAGGTGTTTGTCTGTTGGTATTGGTACACCAATTATAATTATTTGTAGTTTAATTGCCAACCTTAAATAAATCGTTTTGTTGTTTACTGCATTTCACGTTTAATCCCTTCGATAGTAATAATAAGTGAAATTAGAATGAAACTGGTTTGGTTTAAAACTTTAATAAGTTTCGATACACGTGTCGAAAATGTGGTTGGATTGCGAAATTCATTGTGAAAATGATCCGCGTACAAAGGGCCTAATACGAATTTGTTTTGCGTTAAACGTTACCGCGTTCATCGTTAGGATTGGCTGGCTCTAATAAATCAACCAATCAGAGTCGATCTGGTTACCGAAACACATACTCGTACTCCGCCTCCGCCTCAGTTCAGCCTCGAGCGTACCTCGTATCGATACATTTCAACTTTGAGTGATACCAACACAGTTTTAATTGGAATCAGATCCATTTCACGAAAATGTGGAGCTCTTCCTTATATTTATTGTCATATCGGTTTCGGTAAGCGGTTTCGTTCATAGAATATTTTAGTTGTACTGTCTGTTCAAATTATTTCGTAATCAATCTTAACACTTTGAGTAGACGAGTACTTTGACGCCTAAATGAAGGGTATAAATTTACCTATTTTATTTTTTTTGGAAAAAATTATTGGTTTTATTTTCTTTATCGATATAGTTTCATTTGTCGATTTTATTGGAAAAACAGCAAAAAAAACTTAACGTAAGTACACAAGTAAAGAGAGTAGTATATTTAAATAATCTGTGGCAACCTGGCCACTTTCAAAAGTGGAAACATATGTATTTTCTTTTTTTGATTTATGAAGTATACTGAGTGTGCTGCTGACTAAGTTATTGAATTCATGCATATTTATAACAGTTATGCTTTTACTGCTTTATTTGCACGTTGACTACATTATTGGCCGAGTGGTCGTAAGTGCGGCTGCCGGCCAAGGGGTCTCGGGTTGGATTCCCGGGTCGGGCAAAGTATTATTGGGTTGTAAAAAAAATCTCAGCTCAACTCATCTCAGCAGTAGCACGGTGTCTGGAATAATGTTGCATTGTATAGTAACAAAAAGTGCTGTAATATGGCATCTCTGCTAACCCCTTCGGGGGTAAAAGGCGTGATGTTATGTTATGTGTTATGCTTTTTCGTTAAAATTCCTGTAACTTTTATTTACGTGAAGTTTATTATGTGTGTACTTTAATGATTACTTTTTTAATTATTATTTTCTTTCTTAATTATCTATGGTATGTTCTATCAGTAAGTTTATAACGATTTACGTGTCTGTTTAACTTACCTACATAAAGAAAACGAAATGACATAATTATATACGTTAAATACAATTTGTATTTTACAAATAAAATATGAAAAACTCTACAACCGGTCCCAACAGGGTTTGATGAAATGAACAATATTTATTTTAACTCTTGTTTGATTACAATTTCAGCCTGATATTTGAAAATGTTCAATCCCCTCATATGATATCAAATATTACATCATTTTATTTGATTAATAATATTTGTTTTATATTTATTTATTTATTCATTTTTAATGTACTCACATACAACACAAAGGACAACACATAATTATATAAAAACAAGTACATAGATCGCTTATACATTCCAACAGGAATTTCTACCTGTGGGCCTGTGACAGGAAAAAGAAAATATGACACAGTTCGATTCGGTAGAATGAATGGGCCATTAATTAAGATAAAACACCGATTGTAACTACATTCTGACAAATAAATTTTTCTATCTTTCTTCTTTCAGTTGTTGTGTAACACAAATCAAGTACAATACAATGTCCAAAATGGACTTGTGCAATAAAGAATATCAGAATATACAGCAATTAATCCCCTATTTTATTATATAAGAGCAAATACTTCTGTATCACAGGCTAGCTATTATGGTTAGATTATAACCTCAAAATCTGATAATTATATAATTATCTGATACTCTTGGCTCCAGGGCCAACAATGTATGGACGCAGAGCAATGTCCTTTAACTCAAAACTATTAAAACTAAATTATAACTTGTTTTAAAAATATATAGAGAGTTGAAGGGTACACAAGGGTGCAAAAACAGGTGCAAGGCACCATTGCACCAATCTGGTGTGAATTTTCCATCTTCAATGCGTTCGTCACACAACATTAACATAATAACATAAAATAAGGCTTTTTACCCCCGAAGGAGTAGGCAGAAGGCAGAAGTAACACCCACTTTTCACTATTTATGTTATGAGTCCCATGTAATAGGGGGTGAGCCTATTGCCATATACCGGGCACATTTCCAGACTCCGTGCTACTTCTGAGATTTTTTTTAAATCACACAACATTAACTAAAATAATAAAGAAATCGCAGTAAGGAACCTTAGACTCGGCACGACTTTGTCTAGATTTCATTACTGTTTAGAGATTGGGCTCCATCGAGACTTGGCTCGTTTTCAAAGAATGTTTTTTTGTTGGATCTATTTGACATTTATGAAGTAACTAGCTTCTGCCCGCGACTTCGTACGCGACCATCCCATTTTTTCCCGCCAACGTTCGTGATTTTCGGAAAAAAGTAAAAAAAAAAAATTGGTTAAAAAGTATCCTATGTCGGTCTCCTGGCTCTAAGCTACCTCCCTACCAATTTTCAGCCAAATCTATTCTGCCGTTCTTGAGTTATAAGTGGTGTAACTAACACGACTTTCTTTTATATATATACCTCTAGATATGAACTAGATATGCAATATTAATTAAATGTACGTATTACATGTTTTCTGAAGCATGTAGTAAACACACACGTGTGATAAGTAATTAGTATGTCGTATCCCATTGCCCCGAGCTATATACAGCTTCCTAGTTATTATTAATATCTAAGAGGATTTTGCAAAGCAAACCCAAATATAGCGTATGGCGTAGAAGAGGCTCGTTGTTCAGCTGTACATATTCTGTTTTGTTTTTTTTTTATTAACAAAAACGTTGCACCACATTAGGATTTTCTCCAGTGTCGTGGGTGCGTTTACAAACATACAAGTTCAGATACACAATGACACCCAGACCCGAAACAACAATTTGTGAATCACACAAAGTGTTGTTCCGTGCGGGAATCGAACCCGCGACACGTTGCATGGCAGCCGGTTGTCCAGCCACCGCACCAACCGTGCAGTCATATTCATCATCGATTGTAAAATATCTGATGATAAACCGGCCATAAACCATTGCCATTCTTCATATAAAAAAATATATTTCTGATGTATTTAATAAAAATAATTTACTCACATTGTAATTCTGACCAAACAATTATAATACAACAGTCCGGTTTCCGTCAGAATCACTAAAATTATGTGCTATTTTTGTTACGTTTCTTCACAACATCCCACACTGCA